TTTTGATATATTTTTTATTAATTTCTATGCAGTAATTTTTGAGTAATGAATAAATAAAAAATTCCAAAATTTTTTGTTACACACTGTATATCCAAGAAAATCATGGTAGGTGTTGCTGCTTCCCAAATATACTCGTACATGCCTCCATATACTATAACTTTATTGTCTGGAGCTTTTTCATTTATTTAATTGTAGATTACGAATTAGTTTATAATGTACAGTATAAGTTTTTCGAAAAGCTTCTTACCTAAAATAGCCGTATGACGAGAGCGCGAACCAACTATCGAGCCACCTACAGGCTAACAGAAATAAATATAATTAAAATTTATTATATTTGAAAGAAATAAGTTTATGCTTACAGTCGTAGACCACTCGGAAGATTTTGTATCATATACTAGAATCTACAATAAATTAAAATTTTTATTTAAATTTAACATTTCTTTATGATACTCACTTGATTCATAGTGGCCGTTTTATTAGTTTTAGGATTTTCTATACCGCCAATGTATAGAATTTCACCATTATTTAATAAAACACCTGCATGGCTAGTTTTATTAAAGGATAGGCCTGCGTCGCTGCTTTTTAACCAACTTAAATTGACAGTATCTAATATATACATCTTACTAAACGCTATATCTCCATTGTCTCCACCAAATAAATATAATTTTCCAGCTTTATCAATAACAGAGCATATGGATAAAATCGGAATTGAAGACGGTGGCGTACCATCAATTGAAGGCCTTTGCCATGTATTATTTTTGGTTGAAAATGTAAAAACAAAATCGATATAATCTCGAGTCTCATTTGACACATAGGTTAACAAACCGCCACTCATAAATATTGATGAACCACATGCGCTCGCAGTTGACCAACTGACTTCTACTGGAAGATCATATAAAATTTCACTAAATGGTGGCGAATCTTTAAAATTTTTTGATAAGTCAAGGTAAAATAAATCACTTGAGCCATTTCTGTTATCTATCTTGCCCCCAATAAAATATAGCCTGTCACCTACTAATGCTGACGCATGCGCCCGACGCGCATAACGTGAAGGTGTTGATAAAGATTTTGTTACATTTAAAAAATATGTTAATAAAATTAGTAAAGAACTAAGTATCATTGTAAAAAACTTATAGAAAATAAACTTCGTTGTATTTTATCTTAGTAAGATTACGTATCGAAATGAATTAGTAATCTTTTAAATAAAATAATTTAAACAAAAAGTAATCTGTATATAAAGAAAATCAAGGGTTTTTTTAATGCAATCCTGCAATACGCGGTACAAGGGCGTAGAGATGTGATCCGTACATACCTGCGAATAAACGAATGATTGACAAACTATTTTACTTTGAATAATTGTAAATTCTGAATTTGACCAAATTTGATACTGATTATACGCCTAAACACTATACTTGTCAACTCTCGATAAGCCGAACTTTTTTTAACAAAAAGTTCGGTTTGTCGAGTGTCCGTAATTATCCATTGATTTATCAAATACGTAATTTCGGACATGCATGTCCGCAAAAATAGAGCTTGGATCCGGATGTATAATTGGACATCCTTATAAGTATTGTTTTTAATCCAGATATATAATTATATATACTTTTTTAAATCCGTTTATAAAATAGTTAAACCCGGATATATAACTAGATATCCTATTAATATCCGGTTTTAAATATATATATATAATTTAAATCCGAATATATAACTAAATTTTAAATCCGGATTTTTAAGTATAATAATTGTTTTTATAATATTTTAAATAAAGCTTTTATAAAATAAACCTAGAACTTATTTAAATAGTAAACAAATTAAATTAAGAATTTATATAAAATATTATTGGTTTATAATTTTTAAAAATAAATTATTAACGTTAATTTAATAAAAATTTGTATTTGAATATAAATTTTGAATAGTTAAATAATATAATTTTTGAATAACAAGTTATTTGATATTATTTTTAATTAAAATTTTCATAAATTTTTTAAAAATCAGATATTTCAAAGAAACTTTTTATTCATTGGGACAAAGAAGTCTTATTGAATGAAGAATTATTTATGTCCGTATGTTGTTGCTATGCTAGATACACCATATTCCAATCTTCCACATCTAGGGTTTATTGCGGAAATATTGATTTGAAAATGGGATAATAGGTGGCTCTGCTAACATTCCATTTGAACCTAATGCTACGTCTATATATAAATGGTCTTCTAAATCACAGACTAACCGTTGAACTTTTGAATGCACATGGGTTTGCAGGGTGAGAGCGGGTTTATATAGCTGAGATGCATTCTGGAATAACGTGGTCACGTAAGTTAGTTGTTCCGCGGGCGTAGGGTGTAATTGCCGAAGTGAAGGGGAATTCACATTTGTTGACGATTGTATGGGTATCTGAGTGTGAAAAATTGGAGACTTTTTTAATTTTGTAGTTGGATAAGAAATTGGCGCCATTCTGTTACCACCGTTATCCACAGGTTCCTGATGGTGTATGGACAATGGAGATGGTGTCAGCGTCACTTAAACCTAATTGACCTCCCCTCCACGGCCTCCCTTCCAAAAGCATTTTTTGAACTCCCATTAATCCTATTTACATTATAAGTAAGAAGGCATTTTGACTATACCACTTTCGTT